CAGCTATTTCTTTTCCTTTTTTAAAACATGCGAAGAGATCGCGACTTTTACTTTGAAATCTAATTAAAATGTTTCGCCCAACGTGGGGCTCGAACCCACGACCCCGAGATTAAGAGTCTCGTGCTCTGCCGACTGAGCTAGCCGGGCGCATTTTGCTTGAATGCTTAGTTTTCTGATAGCGAACGTCTTAATTTCATAAAATGAAACAAAACGAATTCCCGCTCTCTCAGCTATTTCTTTTCCTTTTTAAAACATGCGAAGAGATCGCGACTTTTACTTTGAAATCTAAGTAAAATGTTTCGCCCGACGTGGAACTCGAACCCACGACCCCGAGATTGAGTCTCGTGCTCTGCCGACTGAGCTAGCCGGGCGGGCGCATTTTGCTTTTCTTTAGTTTTCTGATAGCGAACGTCTTTCATTTCAATTAAATGTTTCGCCCAACGTGGGGCTCGAACCCACGAATTCTCGTGCTCTGCCGACTGAGCTATTTCTTTTGCTTGAATGCTTAGTTTTCTGAAAACATCTTAAAGAGAAACAAAACGAATTCCCGCTCTCTCAGCTTTTCTTTTTCCTTTTTAAAACATGCAAATTAAAACTTTTCGCCCAACGTGGGGCTCGAACCCACGACCCCGAGATTAAGAGTCTCGTGCTCTGCCGACTGAGCTAGCCGGGCGCATTTTGCTTGAATGCTTAGTTTTCTGATAGCGAACGTCTTAATTTCATAAAATGAAACAAAACGAATTCCGTCTCTCTCAGCTATTTCTTTTCCTTTTCAAAACATTCGAAGAGATCGCGACTTTTACTTTGAAATCTAATTAAAATGTTTCGCCCAACGTGGGGCTCGAACCCACGACCCCGAGATTAAGAGTCTCGTGCTCTGCCGACTGAGCTAGCCGGGCGCATTTTGCTTGAATGCTTAGTTTTCTGATAGCGAACGTCTTAATTTCATAAAATGAAACAAAACGAATTTATTTCTTTTCCTTTTTAAAACATGCGAAGAGATCGCGACTTTTACTTTGAAATCTAATTAAAATGTTTCGCCCAACGTGGGGCTCGAACCCACGACCCCGAGATTAAGAGTCTCGTGCTCTGCCGACTGAGCTAGCCGGGCGCATTTTGCTTGAATGCTTAGTTTTCTGATAGCGAACGTCTTAATTTCATAAAATGAAACAAAACGAATTCCCGCTCTCTCAGCTATTTCTTTTCCTTTTTAAAACATGCGAAGAGATCGCGACTTTTACTTTGAAATCTAATTAAAATGTTTCGCCCAACGTGGGGCTCGAACCCACGACCCCGAGATTAAGAGTCTCGTGCTCTGCCGACTGCTCTGGCGCATTTTGCTTGAATGCTTAGTTTTCTGATAGCGCGTCTTTTTCATAAAATGAAACAAAACGAATTCCCGCTCTCTTAGCTATTTCTTTTCCTTTTTTAAAACATGAAAGCGAACGTCTTAAAATTTTCGCCCAAAATGGGGCTCGAAACAAAACGAGTCTCGTGCTCTGCCGATTCCGGGCGCATTTTCTTAGTTTTCTGATAGCGAACGTATTTCATAAAATGAAACAAAACGAATTCCCGCTTTTATTTCTTTTCCTTTTTTAAAACATGCGAAGAGATCGCGACTTTTACTTTGAAATCTAATTAAAATGTTTCGCCCAACGTGGGGCTCGAACCCACGACCCCGAGATTAAGAGTCTCGTGCTCTGCCGACTGAGCTAGCCGGGCGCATTTTGCTTGAATGCTTAGTTTTCTGATAGCGAACGTCTTAATTTCATAAAATGAAACAAAACGAATTCCCCCTCTCAGCTATTTCTTTTCCTTTTTAAAACATGCAAAGAGATCGCGACTTTTACTTTGAAATCTAATTAAAATGTTTCGCCCAACGTGGGGCTCGAACCCACGACCCCGAGATTAAGAGTCTCGTGCTCTGCCGACTGAGCTAGCCGGGCGCATTTTGCTTGAATGCTTAGTTTTCTGATAGCGAACGTCTTAATTTCATAAAATGAAACAAAACGAATTCCCGCTCTCTCAGCTATTTCTTTTCCTTTTTAAAACATGCGAAGAGATCGCGACTTTTACTTTGAAATCTAATTAAAATGTTTCGCCCAACGTGGGGCTCGAACCCACGACCCCGAGATTAAGAGTCTCGTGCTCTGCCGACTTTTACTTTAGTTTTCTGATAGCGAACGTCTTAATTTCATAAAATGAAACAAAACAATTCCCGCTTTCAGCTATTTCTTTTCCTTTTTAAAACATGCAAAGAGATCGCGACTTTTAAATTAAAATGTTTCGCCCATGGGGCTTTCTTGCTCTGCCGACTGAGCTGAAATCTTAATTTCATAAAATGTTTCGCTATTTCGATTTTTAAAACGTGGGGACTCTAATTAAAATGTTTCGCCCAACGTTGAAATCGACCCCGAATTAAAATATTTGCCGGGGCGCGTTTTACCTCGACGACCCCGAGATTAAGAGTCTCGTGCTCTGCCGACTGAGCTAGCCGGGC